CTATCGATCATCATCCGCTTTAGAACGGCTGCCGTAGCATCTGTCGTTATTGAAATCCGTGCTCGTTTGTCTTCCATCCTGAGTAATTACCGATGCGTTTCTATGTTTCTGTTTCCTCCTACCGTGCGGAGACTACCCCGAAGAACCATTTTCTTTTCTTCCATCGTTTTTGGGTCACGACGAAACCGTACTCCATGATCAATGACATTCCTGTTCGAGAGAAAAGAGAGAAAAACATAAGAAATCAACTAGATTGTTCCGCGTATCAAGATAAATCAAATTTTCCCAGAATCAGACGATCTATACGAATTCCTGGTACTTAAAATCAACCCTCGAAACGAGGGGATCAATTGTACCCCGGTAGGCCGTAATTCCACGATTCAAGGGAAATATTTTCCTAGCAACTAGCAAACGTCTGCGACCGGCCTTACTTAATGAGATCTAGGAAATCCTGAACAACTTTAATTGGGCCTGCTGACCCCTATGCCAATTGACTTTCCACGTATAACGCATTGGCTATCTGCTTCTGGTGTCCTTCTGGCGCGCAGGTCGGACAGCTGGCGTTGTCCAGCTAGGGGTTATGGACAGAAATTCGGCAGATGTTAGCCACGAGATAATTGCCGGCTCGAATTTTCGCCAGGCTCGCGCCTCCTTGCTATTGTTTCCTGCGATGAGTTTCTACAGCCTCAATCGCGTGCTCCGTACACTTCTGAACGAACTTTCCTAAAGTAGAGTCCTTGCTAATTGATATTGTTCACCATAGAGGTACATTTCAGCGTGGGATCATTTGGAATTAATAATAAAATTCAATTTCGAGAAATGGACGAAAGGACTCGAGTCTTGGCGAGGAGTTCTATCCCTAGGGAATTTTAGTAAATTCATTGAAACTTCATCGCTCATTGATGTATGATCGCTGGAGCTCGATGAAAATGAATTTCTTTTTTTTTATTTTTTTTTTTTTATTGAGAATGGAGATGGTTGTGTCGATCCACTTCCGGTTGGTAGGCGAACCATGCTCTATAGGAGTTTTCGAAAAATTTCGATCCTTCAAATGGAACGAATGGACCTTCCGGGTAATTGTATGAAATGCGGGCTCCACGAGATGTACGCTTAAACGAGGGTAGCAAATAAAAGCAGCGCGATGGAAGGAGAGGAGGGCTTTTCAATCGACCTGCGCCCATATACGGGCAATATACGTATAAAGTATTGCGTCGTAGTAAAAGGGTCCTTGAAGTGTTCGCAACACTCAGAAAAACGCGATGCTTCTCTTTGTTTAGACGCGAAACGCTGTATCTTGTCAGTTGCTGCGCAGACACGAGTATGCCCTCTCGATCCTAGGGATCCCTAGATGTTTCGCTAGTTACTTCTTCGAATCCATCACTACGAAACACCTTCGCTTTCGGACCATACATTTATCAAGCTCTTCTGATTGGACGTCATCTGAAAAATTGGATTTACTTTTTTCCCTAGTCTAGTGATTTTTTCCCCCTACGCTAGTTACTTTCCCGAATCCATCACTTTAAAGCACACCTTCGAACTGTACATTTATCAAGCTTTTCTCATTGAAACGGTACACGGTAAATTGAAGTTTACTTTTCCTTCCCCCGATAGACTAGTTATTTCTTCAAATCTCTGAAACTTCCCTAAAGAAATAACTGTTACCGAAGAAGAACGGGAATCATCTTGCTTATCGAATCCAGTCACGTAAACGCTAGTTCGTAACGTCGTTTCGATATCGTACGCAGACACACGTGCACACGTACACCATCTCTCGCTATCGTTCGCTTCCTGTAACATCGAAGGTATTTAAACGCATATGGCTGGTCGCGCGCATAAATATAGAGCCCCCGTTGGTGGCTCGAGCATACGGCCCTGCCGCCCGCCAGGATAATGAGCACGCGATCGTTACACGCTATCGATGCACGACACGTTCGGCCAGCTGGCATACCCGATCGTTTTGCGAAAAGTATCTTCCCCGTTTGTCATTAGTCCGCGACCCTTTCAACCCTAACCGGTTTCTATATCTCGTGCTGGGGGGGGGGGGGGGGGGGGGGGTAATTAAGGGAAGGGCTTCGATTGTTCAACTTGGGCTGCATATATGTGATTTTTGGACAGGTGCTGGTGTAAGGGTCATGTTGCTTATTATGTAAAGGGTTGCTGTTTTTTGAGAGGTATGAAGTGGTGGGGGGTAAGTTAAAAGATTTCTTTTGTCCTGAAAAAATTTTTTAAAAATAGGGGAACGAACCTGGCGCACCCTTGTAGGTTAATTACAGGCAACGCTAAGACGAAAATCGAGTAGGTTGTGATTAATTAATCCGTCGAATCGACAAATGTTTATCGACTAAACGAGCCGGTTCGATTAATTAACACCGAGCCTATTGTCGTCGCCTCTGGTCCACGTGTTGCGCGTAGCTCGCGACAGAAGGACCCCGGTGCTGGCCAACGAATAAAACGTTAATTATTGCTTGACAATTAGCCGTCAATTAATGCGAAATCGAAACGGCCGATTAATTTCGTGAACGTACGATAAACAACCGTGTCAACGATCGGTTTCGCTGGATTTTAAAATAACAGGGGTGAAAAATTCAGGAAATATTCGACTGGAATAAAATTACAGTTCATTGCTTTTTCATATATTCTTTTGTTACATTTGATAGGAATTAAATGACACAGACGTACACAGTGTTCAATGTTATCAAATTTTTATTAAAAAACTAAAGTTTCACAAAGGATTACAAAATTTCAAATTTTTATTCTTTTTAATTGTACATTATTTGGAAATCTGAAAAAAAAAGATATCGATCGATTAACATTAAGGAACAAAAATTTTCGGCTTTGCCAAAGGCCGCTTCGTCGTCGATTAACTCGGCTCCGCTTTTCGGCGCTAACTTTTCCGCTTAAAATAACTCGCCTTAACTCAATTATTTCTCATTAAGTCCGCCAGCGCTGGAGCCACTTCTTTTTGTCCGCGCTAACTTCTCCCTGGTCCGCGCACAATGGTCCGCCGGATGCAACGAAGGGATGAAGTTACCCTGTGCACCAGGGACGAATCGCATCGGGGCCGAGCGTGGTATTCGATTAATTTTTACCTGCAACTATCCCCCCCCCCTCTCCCCCTCTCGCCGCGCCTTGTTACTTAACAAAATTCGAAAATTCCAAATGTACTCGCACGGTACATCAATTATAACGTTAAAACGACCGAGTGGAAAGAGGAATGGCCGTGTAATTACTTTCCACGGGTGTTCGTTTCAGCCCGATAATTCCCCAACAGGCTCGTAAAGTTTTAACCAGGGAGGGGAAAAAACCGTGCCGATCGGACCGGTTAAATAATATTCGCGTCGTATACCCGCTAATAGAAGCGGAACGTCGGTTTTTGCGTAGTACAAGGGGAGGGAAATGCAGGCGATGTCCTGGCGCAGGCGCGTGTCCTTACGGTGGTCAAAACAGTGCTCCTGGACGGCAGGCACGCTACCACCTACGATTTATAGCGTCGATTCCTTGCTCGCTTTTCACTCCGAAATAGCGACACATTGTTCCGCGTCTTTCGACGAACCGTTGAAAAATCGCGGACCGGCCGATTTCCTCGCTCGATTTTAATCAATTCCCGGTACCCTCTGAATGGGAAACTCGACCGATACCCGGTTACCTTGGAACCGCGATTTTTCAACCGACCTATACGATGAAGGGCTTAGGTGTCGGGGTACCTTCCTACGACAGCCTCCGCTATTATTCTTTTTCGTTTTCATACTTCCAACGAGATTTAGAGGTATCTTTGTCCGATATTCGTACGTTATCTGTTGGAATTTTTTTAATAGGAATCGAGGATATAACTGAAATTAAGGTAATTCTGAGATGTATCTGCCGTAACAAAAGCAAACCTTGAAATTGGTAATGGAATTAGTCTTTTATTTACCTAAGCATATCTCGTTTTAAGATTAACCGAGCGAAAGAATAGCGGGAAAGAGGTTTTACCTGGCCGTTTAATCGGCACGATTGCTCGCTCGACATGCTACGGAAGGAAGAATGGCCAGATAAACGTATAAACAAACAGGAATTGTGTTAAACCGTGGAACCGCAATAACAAGCTGCCGCAGTTATCGTCGCGTGTGCATGCAATTATGACCGCACCGGGGGTTACGCTAGTAGTACCCGTTTCGCGATTGCACTATCGCCGGGCGTTTACTTAAACCTCATCCTCTAGCTCGAAAGGATGAACAGCTACGGTAACGTGTCATTAAAAAAAAAACGGAAGGAAAAAGAAAATGAGAAAATTAAATTTTGTTAAGTGTACAAAAGGAATTGTACATGGAAAACGGCACGAATGTTGACCATTCTTTAATTTTTATCCATGCGAGAAATCTAATTAACTGGTCAAAGGACCGTGTCCTCGTTTAGCCGGGAATAAAAAATTGTTCCGAAGGTAGAAAAACAAATTTTCCGCTGTTGCGAGGTGAATTTTTTCCTCCTGTCTGCTCCACTGTGCCGGGATTTTAAAAGCAGACCCTAGTAACCTTTAAACAAGCCCCAAAAAGAACAAACATCAACAATTACCCTCCGAGCCGTCGGTCCTCAAAGAGGAAAAATTCATCTTCCTTACCAGTGGAAATAAAATAAAGTGTTCCAGAATGCTCGATCAGGACAGTGTCGCCCCGTAATTACCAGAGAAACCCCTTTCGTTAACACGATCATTAGCAACGGCCCTATTCGCCACTCTCCCTTTCACCGATGCCAGAAGAATCTGGAAAAACAAGCAACCAGCCCCGCCTTCCAGCCCCCTACCAGTTGATCTCGTTTCAGAAGGAAATCGTTTGGTACGGAATCCCGTTGACTCGAGACCGGCCAATTTTCCGGTTACGAATTCTTCGTCGACTCGAGGGGGAGCCGAAACCCCAGCGAGAACAACGTTCCTGAATCATCCCCCACCATTCGGCTTTTCTACGTTACCCGGCAGCACTCGGTTCGCATAGGGTCGCGCAACTCCCGCACAGTCGCTCGTGCGTTTTCGTCGGCGCTCGTTCTCGTACGAGACACTCTCTCCGTGGCTCGAGCCGAACGCAGCAACGGCGGCGGCGACGACGACGGCCGACGAGAGTGACCGACAAGGACCGAGCGCACGTGGGCGGGGCGACGGGAGGGGAGAGTAGTCGCGTACACCGTGACTCGAGAAGTACGACGGCCAACGAGTGCGACCGAGCACGACCGAGAGCGGTGCTTGGGTGGGGGGATACAGTAGAGTGGAAGGAGATAAAGCTAGTGCGTTCTCGTTGACGCTTATTCGCGTACGCGACTCTATCCGTGGCGCGAGCGAGACGGAGGTACCGCTGACGACGGGAGCGAGCGAAAGAAACCGATCGGTCGTGGGTGGGAGTTACAGGGTAGGATAGGTGGGTATTTAGCTAGCAGGGTCGCGATCGGACACGCGATCGCCGCGCGACACACGCGTTTTGCCCAAATGCCTGGCCGACGACAACAGCAACGGCTGGTTCCTCGCGACGCGTGCCTCTCGCGTGATCGTCACGCGTGCTCGTGCTCGTGAGAGAGGTCAAGGGGAGTCCGGCAGACCTCTCGACCCCCGACTGCTCTATTCTCCGCTACCCCTAAGGGCTCATACACGCCTATAAGGCCTGTTTCTTCGTGCTTAGCGAACTCTACTGTTTTTGTGCACACAGTGTGTGTTTGTTTTGTGAGTGAACTTACCGTTTTCTTTACTTTTTTTCTCTCTCTCTATCTCTCTGTTTCGACCGGACCCAGTGAATTTGTTCGAGACGTTTGATTGATTGACCACGAGCTGGAGCTGCGTGTAGAATCATGGACTGGAGAGTGGGACTGCTGCTGATATGTATGCTCGCCGAGGGTGAGTGGCTTTTTAAATGGTTTTTTAGTGGCGATGTCGCGTGACAGATGTCGAAAATTCGCTAGTAGCGTGTAGTACCAATGGAACAGTTTGATGCGAATTTTTCTACTAATTAATTGATACGTTAGGATCCAACTTATTGCAAACATTTTGGCGTTAACCCTTTGCGTCACAAGTGGCACAGAGAGTTTTTCAACTGAAATTAATAGTTAATTAATTGATTAACTATTCTGAATTAATAGAAATTAAATAGTTCACGTTAAATTTTAGATATTTTAATATGCAGATTATATAAAAATTTAGGGATGGGTAAAGGGTTGATGTTTTTGTTCTGATAAAATTTCCTGCTCACTTATTTATTCACCAACTTAACGATACTTTAAAGTAAATTTTCTACCTCCCTTCCTTATTTCAACAACAAAACTGTGTACCAAACAGCCATATAGCTTTAAGTTTATTGTGCACTGCTTGAAAACTTGAAGCAAGAAAAGAGGTGAATAAATTATAATACCATTCAACCCGCAACGAATGCCGGATCATTTTGACTCGGTATGTATTGTATTTCCCCCCTCTTTATAAATTTTTCATTGAATTAGAATGATGTGGGTCAAAATTTATGACTTACAGTCACCCTTAAGTACTAAAAAAAACAACTTTCTTTCGTCGAATCGATATATTCCAATATTTTCTATCGTTCCACTTGCATAAAAAAATAGCTATTTTCATAGGGAGGCCGGTTTGAAAAACTCGTTTCACCGAACGAGTATAAACAACGACACTCGAAGCAATTCTGTCTGTACCGCTTTGGTACTTTGCCATTTGACCCAATTACCAGCTTCCGGCGTTTCAGTTTTTCCGGCTGCTTTTCCGCGGGATCTTCCGGAAAACACGGATGATCGGAGGAAGGGTAAAATTTGCGAGATTCGATCGTGGATAAGCGAAGTTGTATCGCGGTTCGATCGATAGATGGTTTGCGAGTCGAGCACGCGCTCGTTTCAAGCTCCAATTTCCTGATGGAAGTGGATTAATATAATTTGATGGCACCCTCCCATCATCCCTCCTCCTCCTTTTCCTCCATAGGGAATTATGCATCTCGCGGCTCGATCTTCATGCGAATAGCCTTGACAGCGATGGCTTGAAATCGTTTAAGGTTTGATGGAAATGTCTAGTGGATCGAGATGTCATTAAATCGGTTGTAGAATCCTTCAATATTTATTCTACAATCTGTTTCCATTAATTGGAAACGGGAGAACATCTACCAGATACTTGTGCGTCTATCTGATTTGATAGCTGTATCAATAATGAAACAAAATAATTAAAACAGGCTCTTTTTTTGTTTCACGCGATTCTTTGCGCAAAAACAAATCGAAAAGTTCTTTACCGTTATGCAATGCAACGCTTCGTTCTCGAGATATAAGCGATTGAAAATTAGCCGCGCAACTTCCGGGGAGTCAGCCATTTGCTCGGCCGCCATTGGTCCGAGCGTAGCACCCCGGAAGTCGAAACTTAAATCGCTTGTATCTCAGAAACGAAGCCTCCGATTGAAAAACGATAAAAGACTTTTCTGTTTGCCTTCGAACAAAGAATCCATAGATCACATTCAAATGTCTTTTTTCCAATTATTATCCTAACCTATCACATATGTATGTGTGATTACTTTTGAAAGGAGTACTTGACTCTGGAATATTTTGCATCGATTAACCAGAAGTGCATGGCTGTAAAGTCAAAGTTCTCATTGAAAATTACCCTATCAGGAACGTATTTTCGTTACCCGCCAATCAACACGAGAACCGTCAATTATTTCGAGCAAGTTCCAACCCCTTCTTTCACCTCCCTCGTTACCAGTCCTCTCCGTTCCTCTCGCGTACAGGTGTCGGCACGCGCTTAGATCCCGTGATATCCATCGTTGCTTAACGATAACGATCATAATAATTTAATTTAACACTCGACCAGAGAAAGAGGTCACAGTCGTGCATCGATCTTCCACGAGATGCAGCTAGGAAATATTAAAGATCCACGACTACCACCCACAACCCTGACCCGTTTCTGAAAACCGTCCTACCTAACCTAACCTCTCGTTCCAACGTGTTATTTTTTTTTTCTCTCTTCTTTTTCTTTTGCATTCTTTTTTTGTTCCGCGATGTTCACGGTCCATCTCGAGCTCACGAGAAACGCAAACGAGAAAGAGAGAGACGGGTGGATCGTTTCTTGGGTCCAGTTTGGCTTCCAGCTTTTCCTTGAAATAATAACCAGAACCAATTGCCTCTTTCCTTAATCATTTCTTCGGCTCGATAAATAGAAGTTTCGATAGACGGTGGAGTCTTTGAAAATTTCAATTCCGTTCCAATACACGCTTTAAATAACTCTTTTGATCTTCGCTATGAAAGAAGACACTCGAGGACTGAGAAGGTACTTGGAACGTTAATCACCTTTACAAAGCAGTTTTCTTTCTTACGAGGCAAACTGAAATTTTCATGAAGAATAATCAAATAATTTTTCGCTTGCATTTATAGGAATAAAATAAAAAAATAATAAAAAATTGAATACGACCCGAAGGATTGATGTTTTATCGAGTAGGTAACGATCGCGTTCTACATTTCGTGAGCCCTCTTTTTTTATCCAACAAAGAACCAATCAGCCTATTGAACTCTTGTTTCAATTAAAAACCTGAGAAACAGAGATAAAAGCACTTAGCTCGAATGGTTTAATGACGCGCACGATTGTCATCGTCGTTGCGTGTTCATTTCGATACACGGTTTTCCCTCCAATCGAACGACGGTTTAAACGGTCGATCGAAAGTACGAACCGTGATGGGAGGGCTGGAGAATTCATTTGCCCGATACTGGTATCCTATTCTCGCGGCAATTCCATTAAAATCCATGAAACCGTCCGGTTGGTTATTAAGCCGCGCCATCATATCGCCACAGAGGACGATATTCCTCTCGCGACATCGCATTAACGATAATGGAGGTGGAAGAAAATAAAACGAGTACCCTTTATCGATTCCGTGGAATCTATACGGGGGGTGTACGTTTGTCATCGATGGAAATCGCTCGTAATCGTTGACCGTTGGAAAATAGAAATTCATTTGTTCATTTTCGAAAGGGGAACAGGGTTCGAGGATGGTAATTTTTCAACTGGCGCAACCTACAACGCTCGACAGTGCCATTTTTCATCGTACGAAAATCGAGTTGTCCGTTTCCTCATCCGGTTTTTCTATTCCCAGTTACTGGTTTTTGATACGACTCGAAATTTCGCACTCTCGATCAACCAGAGGTGCCATTTTTCCCAAAATTTTCTGGAATAAATAATTAAATGTTTTGTTGAAAACTGAAGGGTCTTGGTAGTTTAATGGAGAACAGTAATTGGGGCTTAAGGCCTGATTACAGGCTTATTCATTAATGACTGTAACCTATTATAACGAGGGTACTTTAATTGTCAGATGCTTCGCTTTCTAACCCTCGAATTTTACAATTTAACCCTCTGACTACGAAAGGAGTATATATACTGATAAAAGAAATATTTGAAAAATATCTACGAACTTCAAATGTGTACCAAGGGGAAAGAAATACTGACGATCCATTACGTCTTACGTGTTATTGAAAGGAATTTTCCAAGTACATATTTTAATCTCTTTGAAAAAAAAAATATCAAACGTGATAGTGTGTAGTACGTAGTAAAAAATCCGACGAGAAAGTAGATATCAATGAATAATTATTGAAGATAAATTTGTTCCTCATTATCAATTTAATTACTAATTATTATTCAAAGAATTTTAGCAAATTTAGTAAATTAAAAATAGATTAAAAAACTACTTAAAACTGGATATTTTTAATTTATTTGCAATTATTTATTTTTAAAATCCCTAAGAATGGTATGAAATCTCCAGGTACCATTTTTGTTAGTAGTCAGTGGACAAGTCGCAGCGACTGATATGCGAATACCGCGCCGTCAGAATTTATGGTTTTTTCCGTGAGTGCGCCGCAGTCAAAAGGTTAAATACAATTTTATAATCAAAGATAGATAATGTAATTTACCAGAGATAAGTTGGATAGATGGAAGAATTAAAAATTCCATTTTCAAGCAATGTAAACCTATCTGCGTTATTGGTACGAGGCTTCAACACCCCCGCAGAGTACGAGAGGGATGAAATAAAGGGATGGGTGAAGATCGAAAATTGGGGCGCAGCTCGTATTGCGGATTGATCTGGCCGCGATAAACCGGAAGCAACGTGGCATTTCGCGTGCACAGGCATTAACGCGACCGCGGGATCGACACTCGACCCTCGTTCAACAATTATCTTACGAAGCTTAGGCGTGCAAGAGAGGGTGTACACGGTATGAGCGAACCGTCAGGAAATGGGTCGATGTAATGGGTACGCGAAGTCCTCGGTGAAAGTTGCACGATACACGCGTTTGGTTACCTTGTTTCCACCCTCCCTCACGCAATTCACCCTATATGGTAAATGTAGCATCCTCTCCGGCCTGCGTCGAACATCCATGTTCCCTGCTGCTCTTGGCTTACGGCTACTCGATCTTTCAGGATCCCGCAGGTTCTAATGGTTTCAGTGTAATTTAGAGTCATGTAGGTTCTAATGGTCCACTGGAATTTTGAGTCTACTATGCTCTTATAGTCCTGAGTAATTCAGGATCTCTGGGATTTTGGAGGGTCTAGGTTCGGACCTGTAGGTCTGGACTACATTAGACTAATAGGAAGTTCTATTCTAATTGTAGGTTAATAGGGCCATAAGCTAAACTCAATTACTGTGGGTGCTGGGACATCATAGGCTACAGTAGATCATCGGGACCTATAGGGCCATAGACTAGGACTAGACTACTGTGAGTCCTGGGGCATCATAGGCTATACTAGACTACTTGCACCTATAGGGTCCTAAGTTTACTAGATCATTAAGGAACCTTCAAGGCCTTAGCAAAGAGTAGAAATAACTCTTTGCTATAGGGAATAACTCCTTACTAGACCACCAGGACCTATAGGGCCAT